CAAAAAAATTAAAGGAAGACTTTGAAAACATCAGACCTTAATGGGGAAAAATATCATGCTGGATATCTATACTGCAATGGACTGGGTAATGTGTTAGGAACGCAAGGATGCCCCATTGTTTGATGGAAATGAAAATTATCAACCTACAGAGGATTGAATTCAAAGACACCCAAAAATCAAAGTGAAAAATTTATGCAGCTGGCTAGCTAATTTTGCGGAAATTTAATTGCAGCAACTCAAAATGGTACTCAGTAGTTTGTATGGCCCCCACGTGCATGTATGCGTGCCTGACAATGTCAAGGCATGCTAATAATGAGACGACGGATGGTGTCCTGGGGGTTTTCCTCCCCAATCTGGAGCAGGGCATCGCTGAGCTCCTGGACAGTCTGAGGTGCAACCACAACATGATATCCCATAGGTGTTCTATTGGATTTAGGTGAGGCGAGCGTGGGGGCCAATCAATGGTACCAATTCCTTCATCCTCCAGGAACTGCCTGTATACTTTCGCCACATGAGACCGGGCATTGTCATGCAGCAGGAGGAACCCTGGACACACTGCACCAGTGTAGGGTCTGACTATGGGTCCAGGGATTTCATCCTGATACCTAATGGCAGCCAGGGTGCCATTGTCTAGCCTGATCTTCTTCACGGCTTCTCCAGTCCCCTTCACATCTGTCACATGCGCTCAGGGTGAACCTGCTTTCATCTGTGAAAAGCACAGGGTGCCAGTGGCAGACCTGCCAATTCTGGTGTTCAATGGCAAAAAGTCTGTTTCTGATTGTTTGGTCAGAGACATTCACACCAGTGGCCTGCTGGAGGTCATTTTGTAAGGCTCTGGCAGTGCTCATCCTGTTCCTCCCTGCACAAAGGAGTGGATACAGGTCTTGCTGATGGGTTAAGGACCTTCTACGGCCCTGTCCAGCTCTCATAGAGTAACTGCCTGTCTCCAGGAATCTCCTCCATGCTCTTGAGACTGTGCTGGTAAACACAGCAGAACGTCTGGCAATGGCACGTATTGACGTGCCATCGTGGAGGAGTTGGACTACTTGTGCAACCTCTGTAGAGTCCAAGTATTGCCTCATGCTACCAGTAGTGACACTGACCTAGCTAGCCAAATGCAAAACTAGTGAAAAACAGAAAAGATGAGTAGGGATTATAAAATGTCAGTGGTCTCCACCTGTAAAACCATTCCTGTTTTGGGGGTCATCTCATTGTTGCCCATCTAGTGCACCTGTTGTTAATTTTCATTAACACCAAAGCAGCTGAAACTGATTAACAACCCCCTCTGCTACTTAACTGACCAGATCAATATCCCAGGAGTTTCATCATTGACTTGATGCTAGACTATACATGTTAACCTCCCACTTGGCTGAAAAACTCACTTGACAGCGTGAATAGGGGAATCTCCCCTGCTGGCTATTATATTCTGACAGTCCACACAGCCCAATACTTGGATGGCACCTACATCTAACTGGATGTAGGTGCTGTTTTGGCACGAGAATTTTCCACTTATCTCCTCCAACATAAGTTGATTGAAAAGTGAACTTTTGTGAACCCTGCTGGTGCCAACAGGGCCATCCATGCAACCAATTTTTGTAGATTCAACAGGAATCAGCCAAAATTCAAATGGGCTAGGTCCTTCTTAAGGGTCTTGCAGCATTTTAGAGAGGTGGACCAACTGGGGCACCTTTATCTGAAACCTATGCTGACCTTTTGATCTGCTATATCATGGAGGATTTTCCATACGTTTTTGGAATAAAAGTAATGTAACTTACTGCACTAATACTGATTGCAGGATGTTAATTAAACACAAGATGGCAGTATTCTGTGGTTCAGTTATCCAGACTTTATTGAAGCAAAGCCTTGTTGAACTTGTATGCTGGTAGCAGGACTTCTGCACTCAGAAAAGGAGACCGCTGGTATCGCTCACAAGCACAACAGTCAATCCTGCAGGCAGATCATAGTGCTGCCATCGGCATCACTTCTTAACAGAGGGACCAAGAGAATATGGGGGCCCTCCCTCCAACTGAGAAAATATCGCTCATGCTGCAAATAATACAAACCGGGTGAGAGGTTTCCATAACCCAGATCATCACAAGTTGCAAGTGACTGAGCTCATTTCAATTGTGTAAAGTACACTTTATACCACAGATTATCAGATTGAGATCCAGACTACCTAACCCATTTAGTATTACGGCCTACTGCTTTAGTGTCTCACAATTAACCTGGAACTGCAGTACTCTGGCCACAGCATGTGCTCCCTGAAGACAGGATTACACAGTATTTCATTTCAAGCCTCTCCCAATTCCCAAGGAACTTGCTTCATTAGATTAGTTTATTGTCTTTTGGGGTTCAATCTCTGCTGAAGTTCGCTTCTGCCCTTTCTTCAATTTTAGCCAATCCTTGCTTTCATCCTTTGTGTCAAAGAGACCAAACCCAGTTTCAACACCACCAAAAGGGGAGATATTTCTGTGGCTTACCATCTTGAGGAAATCTTGCTCTTACACCAGGAGAGATCTGAACCTTAATGTGCATCAACTAGGGCCCCATCAAGCACGCAGAAGATTTGTCCCCATTCTTTAATAAGATACGAACACTTATAGCAAACTTATTCGTCTCAAGAGTTAAACCCAGTTACCAGCTATTGAGAACCTAAAAGTGAGTTAGCCTGACATCTTGATGGTTCACTTCAGCTCATTTGGGGAGAGATCTCAGAAGTTAGAATTGATGTTTAAATTCTGATACGACAGGACATTTGGGTTTGTTTAAAGTGATACTGTGCTTCATTATTTTGTTAGATCTTTTGGAGTGTTGAATTTTTATGCACATCTATCTACTGTCATTCTTTTTGTGCTTGCACTCTTTATACTCTGACCTCAATGCAATTAGAATACTTGTTCACCTTAAACTGTGTGTTTTCTTTATCGTTCAAAGCCAGGGAGTCCTCCTGGCCAAGGTTTCACTGTAGTGTCAGCAGGGACTGTACTTCTAAAACAGGCTAAGAACAGACAGGGAACCCAAAAATACTCAACGGCTCTTAAGGGGGTAGCGCTATAGTAAGTTCTCTCTGTTCTGGTCTTTGCAGCTGCTTGGACTGTTAAGCTAAGACCCCTGTCACTTGATGTTATTATCACAGAAGGAAATCCTACATCACACAGTAATTTTAAGGACGACTACTAAAGTTCCTCTTCATAATCTTAATTATTGTGCTGTGCCCTTGCTACTCAAGCACTTCACAGTGGAATCCATAGTTTCCATATCTTGTACTGATAATTGCTAAGAAATACTGAAACAGCTGTAAATAAGCAGAATAACTGGTTCTAAATTTATTGTAAAATTAATTTTTCTTTGGAGAGAGTTGAGATGCCCTATAAGGTTTTTGCTGCTTGTATGCCCACTGGGAAAGGCTCTCTCGCTTCCTATCCAATTGATAGTGGTCACCAAGGAACTGAGGGGAAATCAAACCTTTTTTTTTTTCATTATATTTATGAAGAATTAGAGCCTCAGTTTGAGGTTTCTCTCACTCGGGGATGAAAGTGAGGGGCCTTAATAGGAACCTATACAGTGATAAAAACCGAACAGAGAGTCTAACCCATAGCCACTCTCTCCAAAAAAAATTACTGTAGTTACACTTTAAACTATATGATAAAACACTATGTGATAAAATAGTGAGCTTGCTGGAAATCCTACTCCAAAACCAAGGGCAATAATGTGGAGTTATTCCTCCACCCCCCTTTTGAGGCAATAATAGCCTCTACTCTTCTTGGAAGGCTGTCTGAAAGTGCCTTTTGCATGTGTTTGTGGGATTTGTTTTGCCAATTTTGTTTAAAAAAAACATTTGTGAGGTCATGTATTGATGTTAGATGAGAAGTAATTCATCCCAAGGATGTTCAGTAGTGTTGGGGTTAAGGCTCTGTGCAGGTCACTTGAGTTCTTCCACACCAAACACCAAACCATGTCTTTATGGAGTTGGCTTTGGGCACAGGATCACAGTCATACAGTTATTCTGGAGCAGAAGAAAGTCTTCTATAAACTGATTTTATATAATTGGAAACACACAATTGTCCAAAACATTAATAGCAATGTTCAGCTATTCCAAAACTGCTCAGTTACAAGAAACCATGTGAACTGGGACACAGAGAACTGCTGCATAATTTTCATCTTAAAGGAATGCCATTTACTGCGGCATATTAAGAAGCAAATCACTTTTCTAATTACTAATACATTTTACAGAACTATTCTTCAAGTACCATGGACAGCACATGTTTCAGAGTCTCGTCACAGCAAGTGGTAGCATACAACATAACTGAAGGATGAAATCACGTTCTTTTTACTGCTTTTTCTCTGTAGATCCAGTAGACTCAGTGGTGGAAGGTAAGGATGTACAGTGATCTTTTGCCTCACGTATCATAACTTCTTGATTGGGTCTGAATATTACTGGGGCAAAGCCCTCGCCATCTTCCGTGAGGACAACCCACTTTGTGTCTGCAGATATAATACAAGATGCAACAGGAGGATTATTATATATACAACATACAATTGTATATAATATTGTATAGTAGTATAAAATTATATATAATATACAATTATAGCCCCCAGCTAGACTTTGGGGACATAAAGAATACAGTTGATCTCAAAAGTTTGCATACCCTGGCAGAAATCATGAAAGGTTACCATTAATATTTAAAATGGGACAGATCATGCAAAACAAAATGTATTTTATTTAAATGATAAGTTCACCTTTGGGAACATGTTGCATGTTCCACCCGTTTTTAGGGTGGAACATGTAACATGTTCCCACAGCTGCAACCACGCTTGCCGCCCCCATGGCTGCATCAATTATTCACAGAGTTCTGTGAATGAGTGCCTACAAGTCCAGGCAGCCTTAGCGGCTGTCGGTTTGTAGTTTTCAATGAACCACCATGGTGCTGTGGAGCACTGTGGTAGTTCATTGAAGCTTCCTGTCAGTATATCTACTTGACCGTACATCCCGTACAACAAGCAGATATTCTGACAGGTCTGCAGGAGACCTGCATGGCTTCAGCAATCTTCTGATCACTGGTGCAATGCTTTACAGGCTCCTGCAGACAAAAATAATAAATGCACATTTTTTTACCTGCAAAAAAAAGTGCATTTATTATTTTTGTCAAAAAGGTGAACTTATCCTTTAAGGATAGTGATCATATGAAGCCATTTATTATCACATACTTGTTTGTCTCCTTTTTATATCATAATGATAACAGAAATCACCCAAATGGCCCTGATCAAAAGTTTCCATCCCCTGGAATGTTTGGCCTTGGTACAGACACACAAGGTGACACACATGGGTTAAAATGGCAATTAAAGGTTCATCTGTGGCTTTTTAAATTGCAGTATAAACTGACATATCACCATATCACACTTAAGACAGGCATCTAGATGTCCCTGTTCAAAGTCTCCTTATTTATTCCCTGGAGCTCCCCAGAAAACTTTAACTTTAGGGAGCTTGGTATGCAAACATCCTCTCCAATATCAATACTCAGAACTCTGTCATTCCACTGCAGGGAGATATGATGATATGCTGCTGCTACACTCAAAGCCTTGTGACTTCAAGGTGTAACATATAACATGTTACTGCTAAAGCAGCCCATGCACTGTTAAAGCACCCCCCTCCCCCCGTTGTGACAGCGAGCCGGGAATCCTCTCCCTGCACCTGCTGTCACAATTTAAAAATACCGCAGCCGTGCAGGGCTCCGCCCATCTGGCCACATCATTCATTCAGAGTTCTGTGAATGGGAGAACGACAAGTACTGACAGCTTTTGCGGCTCTTGGCTTGTAGTTCTCAGTGAACTACCAGAGCGCTGATGAGCACTCTAGGTAAAGCTTCCTGTCATTCAGTAACTGCCTGTACGAGGTATGAGCAAACAGGTACACTGACAGTCTGCTGGAGCTTCACATTGCAACCACAATCTGCTGATCATGGGTGCAATGCTGTGCAGGCTCCTAGTAAAAAAAAAATACCTGCAAAAACATGTGCATTTATTATATTTTTTTTAATAAACTGAACTTATCCTTTAAGCCTAGTATACATTATTAAAAAATTCATCATTAGATTTTTTTCCAAATGTTTGTACCATGTTGAAAACGAGAATTCCATTGTATGAAAATCCTTGAATGTATGCAGCTTGAAAACTTCCCATGTACATATCTACATTTCAGCGTGTTGTAATGTTCCTGTGACCCTTCTAATCATAGTAATAGTAATAATAATAATAACCATCAAAATTAGTAAAATCAAAAATAGTATTTTTAATAATAATAATAACAACTAATAATCATTACCCTTTATTTGTAATCCAAGGGATAATCTGTATATTGGTAAACTGTAAACTGCTATTCACCTATCACTATCACAGAAATTTTACTTTATATCTCCTTAAAAAAAAATATTTTAGTATCCTGTATATGAGATATTTCTTTCATGCTTACGAAAATTCTTTTTGCTGCCATCTTCTTCCGTGTCCTACTTTCTGATCATACGTGGTCTTGCTCATTCAATTTTTTAAGGACAAATATTGTACTAACTAAATGAGAATCATTAGTTCTGCTAACTAACGAGAAAAATTTTCCAACAAGTCCCTTCAGAAATTTTTTATCAGAACAGTCGACATTGGCTCTCAAAAGCAGTATAATAACGAACAGAAAATCGAATGATTTTTCCAAATATGGATATTTTCATCAGATTTTCTAATATTGTGTACTAGATCAGTGTTTCTCAACCTTTTTTCAGTTAAGGCACCCTTTAAAATTCTGGATAATCTCAAGGCACCCTTTAAAATTATGGATAATCACAAGGCACCCTTTAAAGTTATGGATAATCACAAGGCACCCTTTAAAATTCTGCACAATTTCAAGGCACCCCAATCTAAAATGTAAAACCTATTCTGCACACATTCAGTACACCAAAAGGCGATTTATTCTTCCAAAGTAAATACACCTTTGTACACCGGTACCGACTAGTATTCCAGTGTGTCCCTCTCATTTTCTCTCCCTCACTCTGTTAATGTGACCCCAGTGCTGACAGAGAGGGGCGGGGGGAGGGCCAAACAAGGATGATGTGCATGCACCCGACAGAGTCCTCCTTATCAACTGATGATGTCATTGGTTGTTAGGATGCTGGCAGCTAGAAGGTCATAAAAGTGCACAATGGAAACTTGTGGTTTGGGAACTAAAAGGCAGGATTGATCCACCTGCTGGCTTGTATACAATTTTTGGGCATTTTGCCAAGGCACCCCTGAAGAAGCCTTAAGGCAACCAAGGGTGCCTGTGCACCCTTGTTGAGAAAGACTGTACTAAACTGTAGGTACGCAAATAACCATTTTCTGAAAGTTGCTGCGAGTATATAAGAATAGATGCACCCAGGAGCACTGGTATGAACATTTGCAAGCACTCATAGGTAGCTCGGGAACTGGTAGGACTAAGGACTGTCATCTAAGCCTATCTTTACAATGGCACAAAATTCTAAGATATGTTTGGACTGGTAAAACCAGAGAATGTTCTTTGTAAAAGAGGTGATAAATGCTGCATATTCTGGTAGACTACCATCGTATATTGGCTTTTTCCTCTACAGTCCTGAGGAAGCATGGAAATGTGCAAAATGCTTTCACCGAGCTGCATTTGGGGAAATAGTGTTATGTAAATTGTCAACATTTGGTTTGGTGGTTTCAATTAATACCTTTAAAAAGGTGGACTTACGGTATATGTACTGAACATTTTATTGAAGTGTTGAGTGTGAAAATATACAGTATGCAGTTTGTCTGTACAAATTAACTGAATACATTTTTGTAATTTTTTTTAGATTTTGTTTGTATGTTCCAGAGTACTGCAATTTAAAGCTCCATTTGAAGAATGCAAAATGGTATAAATAATAAAGACGACAGTGCTTTAGTGGGAAAAAGATATTTATAATTGCTCCTATACCCCAATACATTAACTAGGTTTCAAAAATAGAAATCTGACCCTTGACAATGGGCAGTCAAGCAATACTGTTTGGGCAGCACAGTGGCTAAATGGTTAGCACTTCTGCCTGGCAGTACTAGGGTTTCTGGTTCAAATCCCAACCACAGCACCACCTGCCTGGAGTTTGCATGTTCTCCCAGTGCCTGTGTGGGTTTCCTCCGGGTACTCTGGTTTCCTCCCACACTCCAAAGACACGCTGGTAGGTTAATTGGATCCTGTCTAAATTGGCATATGTATGAATGTAAGTTAGGAACTTTAGATTGTACACCCCTATATATATATATATGTGTGTGTAAATTGATGGCACTATATAAGTACCTAAACTAAATAAATAAATACTGTTTGAAATTTGTTTAGTTCAACAGGGCCTAGATTAATTTTGATCAGTGTGTGGCAGTCCCTGCTTGACAGAAGTTGATTGATTGACTGACGTCTGTCAAAGGGACATGTTGGAAATGTTTTCTTGATCAGCAGCTGCAGTCGCCAATCAGTATATTCTGGCAGCTGTGGGTCCTGCTGTCAGAATACAATGTCCTAGTGGGAAGGACTGCTCCATACACCTTGTTGTTGTGGATGGAAGAATCTGTGTTTTTCTTTTTTTTGTTCAGTCTGCTGGCTGAATGAGAAAAAAATGAATTGTGTATGGCCAGCTTAAATGTGGGACGCAGCATCTTAGTCTCCACTACAAGACAAGAAAGTGTTAAAACTGTGATCCAGTGGTGATGAGCAGAGATGTTCCACTGCTGCTGTTTAATGGCAGCCTAAGCTGTCAGCTACCTCCTACTGCAGTTCCTGTTTATTTTAACCACAGATTTTTTTAAAAATGATCTCTTACAGGTCTTCTTAAAATTATTGTCACATGGGTCACTAAGGTGGATCTGTGGAACAGTTAATTGAGCATCATTACATTAGCCAGAGCTTCATCTCCTCCTATCCAATACTGCTAAACCCCCATATTCACATGCTGAGTTGTGTGCCATAAAGACAAATACTTTTGCTAATGTGATATTTTAGTTTCCTATTGTAAAGTATAATGTCTACTGTCATTTCAAACCGCAAAATCTCCTCCAACATCTACAGGACAGGACAAAACGAAATGTGAAGAAAGTGAAAAAGTGCTGTGACACTTGATCTGATCAGACAACTCACCCCCAAAACATGAACCCACCAATCTGGGAAAAGCATTTCTAAAGTGTAAAGATTATGGTAAAAAAAACATTTATGATATAACAGTATTTAATACATCCATAATTTCAACAGTACAAACTGAAGGAATCTAGCTTTAGGTTCATACAAGTTAACCGCTTCCCATCCGCCCTATAGCAGAAATACTGCTACAGGGCAACACAGGTGCACAAAATCACGCATATATGTACTTGAATCTTCATGTCCAGGTAGGGGGCGCGCGCGAGTTGCGCGCCCTACCCGCGCCGCGGCTGTCATTCACCAGGTCTCAGCCGGTGATTACTCGCCGGGACCCAGTGATTTCTGATGATCTCTGACGGGGAGGAGAACTGTTTTGTTTAATAACAGTTCTCCTCCCTGTCAGCTTGGGCACACTGCTTTGGATGGCTGTGCACAGCCATCCAAAGCAGTGTGCTTACAATCAGGGGTGGACTGACAAATCATGGGGCCCCCGGGCAATAGGGGATCATGGGGCCCCTGTGTCCTTGCCTACACTCAAACCACACCCAAAAAAGCCTATGAAAGGTACCAGGGGCATCTCATGGGGCCCCCTACTAACCCCGGGCCCTTGGGCAGGGCCCGAGTTCCCAAATGGTCAGTCCGCGCCTGCTTACAATGAAGCACACTGACACACCGCCCCCTAGTAAAACATTCCCAGCACACAGTTAACCCTTTGATCGGCCCTCACGTTAACCCCTTCCGACCCAGTGCCATTAGTACAGTGATAGTGCTTTTTTTAGCACTGATCTCTGTATTGGTGTCACTGGGGATGTCAGTAACACCAAGTCAGTTCCCCCCAGTGTCAGAATGCCCGCTGCAGTCCCGCTATAAGTCACTGGTCGCCGCCATTACTAGTAAAAAAATAAACAATTCCAGTATATATACCACCATTTGTAAACGCTAAAACTTTCACGTAAACCATTTAATTTACACATATTGGGATTTTTTTTTAGCAAAGACATGTAACAAAATACATTTTGGCCTAAATTTTTGACGAAATTAGATTTTTAAACTTTTTTTACTGGGCATGTTTAATAGCAAAAAGTCAAAAATATTTTCTCAAAATTGTAGGTCTTTTTTTTTTATAGTGCAAAAAATAAAAACCGCACAGGCAATCAAATACCACCGAAAGAAAGCTCAATTCATGGGACAAAAAGGACATAAAGTTAATTTGGGTGCAGGGTTGCATGACCACACAATGGTCAGTTAAAGTAACGCAGCAACTTAACGCAAAAAATGGCCTGGTCAGGAAGGGGGGTAAATCTTCTGGAGGGCAAGTATTAAGCCGAAAAGCAAACATTTATTATATGGCAGTTTACCAGTTCTTAGATGTGATGGCTGCATTAGTTTTCTTTTTTTAATATGATATAAATGCAGCGCTAAGGTATGATGTATAATAATAATAAAGGTATTGGGAAGTGAGCGCTATTGCAGTGCATAAGAAGTGATAATGTGATGAATCGTCTCTAGATGACGTATCAAAAGAAGGGGATATATAAAGTCAATATATAAAGTGATTGTAGTGCATCATACACAGTTTCCTTTGGAACAAATCCTGCTGCGAGTACCCATTTGTCTCTGGCTTGTGACATGCGAGCCCCCAAGGTGGAGATTTCCCCCAACTGCTCATGCCTCTGATCTGGTAATACCTGGAGCTGTCTCCTGGAGCAGAGTGAGTCCTGTGAGAGAGTGCTGTTACCCTGTGTACCTACGGGGTACTTGATGACCCCGCAGTCCCTGCCCAGACCCAGATGATCATTGGCGGAGATATATATATATATATATACACATGCGCATACCTTTTGCGCTTCTGGTGAGTGCATTCATTTACTGGCCCTCATCATAAAGATCACCGACACGGAGCACGGATCACTAATTTATCTGGACTTGATTTGTATTCTCTGTGCATGATGCACTACAGTCACTTTATATATTGACTTTATATATGCCCTTCTTTTGATACGTCATCTAGAGACGATTCATCAC